ATATATATATATCTATATCTATATCAATCTATATCTATCTATATCGAAAAAATAAATAAGTCTATCTATATATATATACATATATATATATATACATACATATATATAGAGAGAGACATAGATCTCTGGACATGACGCCCGAGGTGCCCTGCTCTGCCTCACCGTGGCGGCGCCTGTTCTTACAACCATTGTGAGAGGCGAGTGAAGAGAAACGTGCCTCCAGAACTGGCAGGGTGTTTAGGGCAGGGTTTGGGCTTTTGGATTAAGGTTTAGGGTCCGGGTTGCTTAGTGCATGCAGTTTATTTCCATGTGATTTGGTGTTGGAAGTGGCACCAGGCTTCTCTGCTCTTGCCAACTATCCGAGCTTGTCCAAATCCGAAGCCCAGAACCCTGAACCTCCAAACCTTAACCCTCGCCCCAAAACAACCTGAACCCTCGAACCTTCAGAAACCCAAAACCTCAACCCTGAAGCAAGGAACAGGCACCCTTCGGGAATCCTCCCCTTCGCCGCTTGCGTGTGCCTCGCCATGCCTAACTGCCTAAAACCGTTAAAACCTAAACTGCGTTTGGCTTCCCCTGCAGCTGTCGGCTCAAAGTGCTGGGCCGCGAAGAAGTGCTAGTGAGTATCCGAGGCGAGGGAGGGGCAGGGTTTCGGATTTTAGGGGTTGGGGAGTCAGATGTGCAGGTCTGGGGTTCAGGGTTTAGGGTTAAGGTTGCGAGTGAAGAGCAGTTGCATACACAAGCAAGTCTGCTATTAGAGATGGAAGTACAAAGAGAGATACAAACAAACAAGCGACTGAGTATCAGATGCAATATTCTAGGTCGATCGAAAGCTAGATCCGTCATCCGACTGACGCCAAAAAAACTCCATTGCTTGTGTAGGACCGTCTTCTCCCTCGCGAGATCTCGCGAGTCATGTTGCAGTCCGAGGTGCGACGGTGTTGGGCCAGAGGGGTTGGCTAAGGAGGGTTTGGGGAAGACTCCCCTATTCTTCAAAAATCACTACAAAGGAGTACTGCTACTCATTGATTAGACCCTACTAGTACGAGATTTTGGGGTTTATTGCAGTCATTGCATCTTCAAGCAAGTCGCTGTGTGGACAGGTCGATGCAATCTTTAACGCTTTTGACCAGAACAAGGATGGTGGCCTCTCCCGTGAGGAGTTCGAGAAGGCCAACGCCTGCACGCTGACCTGAACTCCCAGCCCCTTGATGCAGAATACCTACACCTAAACCCTAAACCCTAACCCCAAAAGCCCGAAAGCTCCTGAAGGTCAGATTCCTGCAAGCTGCTTCAGCTGTCGTTGCAAAAGTTGCGAGGGCTGGTCTGGCCCTGCTTCCGTGCAACTGGGCCCTCCAGCACAGACCGAAGAATCCAGTCAACCGCTTTCAGGGTTTAGGGAAAAGATAGGGAGGGTTTAGCTTCTATAGGCATCGACACCCGAATCCCCTGAACCCTGCCTAGCCCTAAACTCCTAACCCCAAACCCTAGGCCGTAAACGCAAAGCCCTAAACCCCAAACCCCAAACCTCAAACCTTCGAACCGGTGGAAAAAGGCCCTCGAAAACAAAAAAACCTTGAAGCACAAAAAATTTAAACCCCAAATCCCTAAGCCCCAAACCCTAAACCCTGAACCCTCGGCTTTCGGTGGGGAGGCCCTGGCGGCCCACAGACTTCAGCAGGCCGGGGAGCAGTGGAGCAGCAAGCCTACTGTAGGGGCTGTAGGGGCCTCAATAATTAGAATCGAGCAAAAGCCCGCATGTATGTATGTATGTATGTATGTATGTTTGTATGTATCTATGTAGGCATGTACGTATGACTTCGTGCGAGTCTATGCACGCACATATGTGATGATATGCAGGTATACATGCCTAGAGATCTATGCATGCACCTATACGTAGTTCATGCTGTCATGCATCCCCTTGGCAGATGTAGGTGTGTCTGCGCGTGGACACGCGCAACATATTCACAAATATATGCGGTCATCCCTTCAGGTTTTTCTAGGCAGTAAAGAGATATCCTTCGATGCATTGTGTTTCCGAGCTGCGTCCTTGGTCATGGAGCAATGGAGGTGATTCCCGAGCCAGCAGCAGTCCCGGTCTACGGACCACCTCGCACCGCGCCTGGTGCGATCCAGACGGAGGTAGCGCTGCGCAGGGATGCGTGGGCTTCATACGGTTTGGGGTTGTTTGCTGCCAATGTCATGCGGTTGGCAGGTTCGGCTTATTATCAGCCTTTGGTAAAGGGAATAACTGCGACATAAATTGAGCCAGACTTTGTATGTGTTGTGGACAGATAGCAATATTGCGATTGGCCATGTGAGCTGCCACGGCTCACTTGATGCTGAAACTGCAAACATGCACGGTTATGATTGCATGCGCTGCAACTTCCACAAACTTTTATGCTCAGGGTCACTGTTCCCATTGTCGAAGGGGTCTCCTGTCAGAGTTTGTTGACTGACTGACTGATTGAAGCATTCGTGAGTCAAATTCCATCTTGAGTCAGCTTGCGAAAACATTGAGTAGCCTGAGCACTTCTGATAGCACGTCTGCCATCCTGAGGCATTCACACGACCGCGGTGCTGAATCATGCTAAATATTTGGCGACTTTTCTTCTGTTGGTTCGTCCGAAGCAGCCTTTTCTCCAGCTGCCGTATGCTCAGCGGCAGTTGGGTAATTCTCGCACACAGGCATGACGAGGAGCTTGCAGAATCTTGAAGGCCCAAGAAACTAGAGAAGCCCTATGTGAACGATTCGCGTGCATCTCCACATGTGACTGTTGCCACCCCGTGTCACTCATTGTACTCACTACTATTGGGGATGGCATTTTCGACAGGCGCAGAAATCAAGAAGTGTGTGGAAATGAGTGTGTAGGTCAAAGAGATGGGTCAACTCTTCGCTGCAGAGCCCTGCAGAGGGCAACTGGTATAGAATTCCTTTTTGGCTAGGCAGCCAGAGTCAGACCTCAGTCTCTCGTGTCGGTTCTCAGCTGCAGGTGCATGCAAACATGCAAGCGGCGGAGACTTTCAACATGGGCGTTCCTGTCTACCAAGCACCGACTGTTGCTCCAGTCTACCGAGCAACAGCGATTCAGCAGCAGCTGCATCATGCGCAGTATGCACAGCAGCAAGCGCAGCAGCAAGCACAGCAGCAGGCGCAGCAGCAGGCGCAGCAGCAGGCGCAGCAGCAAGCGCAGCAGCAAGCGCAGCAGCAAGCGCAGCAGCAAGCGCAGCAGCAAGCGCAGCAGCAAGCGCAGCAGCAAGCTCAGCAGCAAGCGCAGCAGCAAGCGCAGCAGCAAGTGCAGCACCAACGGCAGCAGCAGCCGCCGCTTGTCACTTACTGTGGCATGCCAACGTTGCAGCCATCAGCCGCACCACAGCCAGCCGCGCAGACAGCACCACAGGTGCAGCATGTGCCGCAAGTGCCGCCGCAAGCACAGCCTGCCCACACCGTACCAGTCATGCCAGCACCGCAGGGTCAACACCTGCAGCCTCCACAGCAGCCGCATGCCCAGACCTTGCCGCAGATGCAGCCGATGCAGCAGCAAGCACCGCCGGCGCAGCCGGCGCAGGCAGCGCAGCAGTGGCCAGCAGCACCCGCCGAGCCGGTTTCGCTGCCACAGTCCCACCAAGCGCCTCAGGGCTCTGGCGCTGCACCCATCAGCAGCCCAGTGCCGCAGCCTTCGGTTTACCGGCGTGTCGAGACCTCCTCCAATGAGCGCACCCCATCCCCGGTCCGCGTGGTGAGTGCTCCGTTCAAGCCTTACTCTGCATGTTACATCTTCATCTTCACTCCGCTTTAGCTTTCGTGGACAGTTCCCAAATCCCAAAGCCACAGGCACCCGATGCAGGTGCAGTTTCAATGGTCCGCACGCCTCGCTTGGGCGTTGCTTGTGCCTTCGTGTGCTGTAGCAATTACCCTCCAGACTTTCCAGGGCCCAGAACGATGCCCTCATCCGGAGCATTCCATCAGGATGCGCGGCAGTTGCAACATGAACATTGCTGCGCATGTCAAGACATGCAATTGCTACAGTTGAAGATGACAGCTGCCGCAAGTTGTTCCAGGACGCAGTTCCGTGAATGGTGCAGTGTCGGTGGCGACGCCGCAGCTCGGCTCGCCTGACTTGTCATCCGCATACCGCATACCCCCTGACCCAGAGCTTGCAGCGATCTGTCTGAACGCGGCCCTGAGCATTTCGTTTGTCACGCCTTGAGAACCAAGGACGAACGCTTTCAGCTACCTTTTCCAATCGCAGCACGTGCAGTCTCAGCTGCCTGGCTGAAGACAGTCTGGCTGACAGAATGACACGAGAGAGAAAGAAACCGTGACAGAGAGAGAGAGAGAGAGAGAGCGAGAGAGAGAGAGAGAGAGCAAGGGGGAAACCTCTCTGCCCCTAGCCCTGCCGAAAGAAAGAGAGCCAGGGCATGTGAAGGGAGGGAGGAGTCTCGTCTGCCGTTTGGCATGAGATCAAGGCGTCTGGACTACTTGCAGCACGAGATGGCGCTCCCTGATAGCAAGTAGCATAGACGTTGCCAGCCGCATCTTCTTTGCATCTTGCTTTCTGGATACTCTGTGGATCAAACAAGCCAGGTGCTAGGCTCCATCCTCCACAGAAGTGGAAACAAATCAATGTGCTAAGGGAGATGAAGCAGATGTTGCAAATGGCGCTTGGGGGGCAGAGGAGCCCGATGTGCCTGATGGCGCCCGCTATCTGCACTTACCCACGGAATTCCATGGCCGATTTGCGGAACATTTCTAGCTTTGGTTTGCTCCCGGCCCTGAACCCTAAACGCTAAACCAGCAACCCCAAACCCTAAACCCTAAAGCCATAAAACATAAACTTCACATGAAACCCCTAGCTCTCAAGCTGCGCACCTCTCTTGCAGGACTTCGGCTCCAATGGCAGAGCCGCAAGCAGGCTCCCGCCTCGACTGATGGACGAAATCCTGGGCTGGCCTAGGATGGGGGTTTGGGGGTTTTACACTATACTTACTTGGAGTTTCATGGGTAGTTAAGTCATGTATTTATGGCCTGTTCCTTCATTCCTTGTCCGGTTGCGGCGGC